CTACATGTGAGCATGAAGAGATGGGTTGCCCTGTTAAAATCCCGAGACTCAAAAGAAGAGAGCCCAGTTAGTGTTTAAATGATTAGCCTATTTTAAATAGTGATATAATATGTTTATTTATGATACATGAACAGTTTAGTTCAAGGTTACTAAAGAATCAAAATCTAAAAAAAAGAGAAAGTGATTGATGTCCAGATTTAAAATTGATGCTCAGCAGAGATGCAAAATAAAGACATTTAACTGATTCTTGTCACTAGTCAATTAGATTTGAAATATTAACAAAACTGAGTGAACTTTAATGGCAAGAAATACCATAACATAGCACATTCACATTTAAGCCTTTTAAATGCTTAGTATAAAATATAACCAGCGAATAATGCATCAAGACATCTAGTGAGTAACAAAGTTACAAAACCATCACAACGAAGGACTTACCTATAGACTAAGATAATTTTCATGAATCAAATCTTCTCCCTGCAGGACTGTCAAATTATAAGTCTGTTGAAATATCACTCTCCAAAACATGTGTGCTAACATTTGGCCAACACCACCACAAGATCATTTTATTAACTCGTAGCTCATTTCATAGACTGCTGCTCATGTTGCTAACATATGCTGTTCTGCCATTTACTGCTCTATAATTAGAAAAACCATATGAAAGACTGAACTTATATTCAAATGCTAAAATAAGCATGATTTGTGAAGATTTGGAAATAAAAAAACCCTAATTGTCACAGAGACTGCCCTTCAGAAACACAACTATCTAAGCTCGGGATGTTCTGTGACAGTTGAAGAAAACTGTCAAAGAAAACAGGCAAAATATAAAAGTAGGAAATATCTATTTTTTGTTATCATCTTAAAAGTGTATTACTCTGCTGTGTTTGCCCAATACTGTTGTACAGAACCCTGTTAAACAAGGAGCACTGCTTTTCTTTTACAGACCCGATTCATTTCCACATTTGTTTTTAATTGTCACAAGCCTCCCATTTTTATTCCTAATGGTATTTTAAGTTTATTTTTGAACCACACAACTGTAATCCTTTAGTGCATGGAATTAGTCACATGCGGCATGAAATTTAACAAGAAGCAGCTCGGGATAAAAAAAAAAAGAAGAAAAAAGAAAAACCTTGAGCTTAAACTTCTGATAAGCTCCTAACATAGTAATCAAAACATCTGGTATCTTAAAACAAGTGACATTGTAATCCCCAAGGACAAAGACTCAATCTTTTTCCCCCTTTAAATAAATGAGAAAGGATGAAAAGAAAAAGCAATTCAAAGGGTTTGCTTAAATTGGACGGTGCTGTATTCCAGACTTTTCCATTTTTTTATACCCCCCGTGTTCTTTCAAAGAAACACTGAATGTGTGTAGAGTGCCAATAGGGGTGTCAGGTTTCAGCCCTGGTGGTTTTATTTGGACCTTGTACGTCCAGTTTATAGCTTCCATGGATGGGATCAGTTACATCATCAATAATGAAAAAAAAGGAACAGTCCCTCGAGCCAAAACAGTAGCACTTTAATTGCTTTGAGGGTCGCTTTTAATGCTAAACATAGTATATACAAACAGCAGGGGAACCGAATCCTGAGTGCTGTTTTACCACTCAACTCTGTGTCCCTAACAGGAGGGCTAAAGCTTGCTGGAATCTTCATTAAGTCAAAGGTGTTGTTTATTGAGGTGAATGGGCATTTTTTAAGAGAAAGCTTTAATTAAAGCTGAATACCAATGCTTTATATTGATACCTCTGCTGCCATACTAACATCTTAGGGCCTTCCAAAGAAATGTAGTAAAAAAAAATAGTATTTTGACTTTTATCTCCAGAATACAAGATTGAAAACCTGCAAGTGTAAGAGAAGTTATAGGAAAAGTAGGTCATGGGATGATTTCTGAAAAAACAGGAAGTTTAAAACAGCAGTTCTTTTCGATAAACAAACAAAAAATTAATTTCCACTGCATGTTTCTTCGGTTGATGCAAAAACTCACGTTTTTTCAAGAAACAGTCACTGTATCGTGCCTAGTGACAAATGCAATCTAGTCCAAAACTGTAAATTTGATGTGACAGCTTGAAAAAATATGCTGGTTCTTTGTCTAGCTCCAAGCATCTTAATAATGTGGGTTTCACTCTTAAATATAGAGAAGTGATTATAGCTGGAAGGCCTGCTGTGGATACTGTCATTACACTCTTACGCTAGGTATTTTAACCCAATTTTACCCATCTATCTAGCAGTATAAATAGGTACTAACATTTTTAGGTGTAACCCTGTTGGACTACCATATCACTAGTATAACATACAGTATATATTGTAAGTTGTTGTAAGTATGGACTATTCTGATAAACGGGATCAGAGGAATATAATAAATATTCCCGGTACTTTTGCTCATAGGCAATGGGCAACCTCACCAGCAGTGGGGCGATGGTGAATGTAGAGAAGGAATGTTTTTTAAGAGAGGAAAAAGAGAGGAATGAGTCTACCTAAAAAAAACAATGGAAATAACATAACATCGACAAGATCCCCAGGTGTTCACCTAGTGACGGTGAGTGCATATTTAACAAGCTTGTAGTTTCAAAACTTCATGGCCAAGCTTAGATAAAATGTTTAACCCTAGAGCTGAATAGGTTTCGTTAACAAGGATCAACAACACAAGAAAAGGTTATAATTTGTTTGGTAACTAGCCGTTTACTGATCTAAGGATTTCACTTAGCAGAATATCACATTGCGAAACGTAATATTTCAATGCTGTGAAATCATGCTACAGATGGTGGGTAGCAAAAGGAAATGTCAAAAGGCCTTTGCTTTTAATAAGTCTTAATAAGATAGGGGTCTATTTATATTGGGATGTTCGGCCTTGAAGAGGGTTTTAGCAAGACTCAGGCAAAACTAAACGCTGTACTTAGGAGTGTGTAAATCAGTCTAGCTTGGTTTTGTCTTGACACAAGCCCTGTAACCAAGGCAGGCCCGGGGGGGACATTGGCCAAGCTAAACCCTTTCCTCAATTGTGAAGAAATTTCTTCAGAACCTGGCATTCGCTCTTGCCTTGTATTATAAGTGGAATTCGTGGGCCTATGGACATCCCCACCTCTGTAGGGGTTGAACTGTTTGAAAAGATACACATTAAACCAGCTGGGGGTATTCAAAATCTAATACTGTACATGTAGCTGCTAAAATCACTAAAATAAATGTATGCAGTTCACTTTTATGTACTTCTTTAGTCAAATTAATAATTTCGAATGGTTGTTGAATAGAAAGTGAAATGCGAATGTGGTAAACTTCCTGACTGCATGGTACTGTACGAGTGTAAAAGAACACATGAAAACTGAGCTGGTATTTTCACTGTGAAGTGTAAAGCACATCAGTGTCACACTGGCTTCACGATTCTGGAGCCACGGGAACATGCAAAATGAGCACTGTTTGCACTTCACATGACCAAGACCAGCAATGAAAGGAAGAACAATATTGAACTTAAGCACTTGGAGAAGGAACCAGTATATCCTGACGCTAGGAGTACACTGTAGTAGCTCACATGAAAGGAAGAATTTATTATTTTAGACAAATATCATCATGTTGAAAAAAAGGGAAAAAGGAGACTATTACCGCTTTTTTGTGCGATAATAGCAACCCTTTCTCAAGAGCAGAGTGTTGTGAAAAGTATTAAAAAGTTTTTAAAGAAACACAGAAATACTTTGTATTCTCATTCGCAGCAAATGCAGACTAAAACGAACCTGAATCTGCTGATACTGCAGGTGTAGAACAGAAACGCATGGCTGCAAACCTCTGTGAGTTGAGGCACATGGGGCAAAACACAGATTTCAGTTACTTCTTTCAGTGTTTATGGAAAGGCTTGTACGCCAAGAGAAGGGGTTTTAGGTTACGAAACCTCTGAAGAGGCAAGGACGTGACAGCTCTGGAGATATTTCCAAGTGGTGAGGACTATGAACGAGAATAGGCTGAAAACATGTCTAGTGTTGAGCTGGTAGTGGGGGACTCACGCTGTTGTCAGTGTCCTGCTTTGCTGCCCTGGTACTTTGGGTCAAGTGCTGGAATGAGCAGTGACTCTGACCATAATAACCAACCTTTGGCAAAGTCTCTTACAATATCAAACAGTCTGTGGCAACAAGAAATCTCAGTGTATTATCACACGCTTTTCCTTATGTTTTGTTTCTTTTAAATTTCTAAAGAGTAAATGGCTAGTCTCAGGTAAAACAACTCAAGCAGTTTCTATTCTTTCCTTCATTTTCCAGTTCTCTTCTTGTATTGCAGCTGCTTCCTTAAAATTTGAGTTACTCCCAGGAACCGTTTTGATTTCTGCCTACATGAGCAAGCAGCTTACATCCAGTTGTAGGTATTATATCACACATTTTATGATTGCTAGGAAGTAACTGGTTGAAATGTGTCTTCCCAGCAAATTAAGTTTTGTTAATGTTTGTTTACAGATGTAAGTAGCAGTAACAACAAATTTATCTTGATGAACACGACCTAGTACTAACAGTCACCTTTGTTCAAACACAAAAAACCCTCTCTGACTACAAAATATCAGATCTTCAAATATACAGAAAGCTATTTTTAATGACAGAGACATCAGGGAATTGTAAGAAATGGTGCAACCTAAATTCTGAGTTTTTTTTACAATATCTGATACAGTAACTGCTCCTGATTTTTATACGAACCACCTAAGAATAGACAATTATTAGTTAAATGTGAATGTTACGTTACTGCATTAGAAAGAGAGGAAAGACAAAACACATGGTGGTGGTGTGAGACAAGCTATAGTTTCACTCACTCCAACTCCACCAAATTGAACCCTTTGTGTGTCCAACCCCAGGATCTCCCAGCTGCATTTTTCGGGTGGCACAGCCTGTATTTGAACTGGCAAACTACACTGTATAAGATACTATCTGTGCCCCAGGCAGTGGTTCTTAATGGATTTAAGGAGCCATAATAAAAGTTATTTTTTGTTTCCAGTGAAGTATATATATATATGTGTGTGTGTGTACACAAAAACTGACCTGAATCTGCTGCTGGAGAAGGTTGATCTTGTGCTGCTGCTGCAAAAGTTGCTGCTGTTGTCTAGCGATCTATCAATAATACAAAACACAAAAAGAAATAAAAAAGATGAATATCTGAGTGTGATGAAACTGAAATTAAGCAGAAGTAACATTCTGTATAATATCTGTGCAGAGCAATATTTTAGATTTTTCATCCACTTATAAACACACATTTTAATTTAATATGTCTGTGTGCAGAACACAACTGTAGCTTATAACCACCCGGGTAATTAGACACCGTCTCTATGAGCAGTTTTACACAATTAACTTTTACATAAGAATCCAAAACGCAAAAGCATGTCAGGCCAGGGGACGATCTCCCAGTTATGAAACCACATCCTGGGGTTTGAGTTAAAAACTGAAAAGGTTAAACCCTTTTCAGTCTGAAAATCAGAATGCGGAGTATTCATAATGTACAGTACCACACCACACAAAAGTCCATTAGCATAGTCAAATTACCTAAATACTGTAATGCTAACTTCTTGATTTCCAAATTTCTATCTACATGTGTACATACCAACACAATAAAAAATCCAATAAAGAAAACATCAAGCTCAAAGGCTATTAAGTCTTCAAATAATAGCTTATGTTTATTGAGTGCAGCTCTATTTAGGAAAGGCAGGGTACATAGCAACCTTTTGTACTGAGACACAGAATATAAAGCTGCCTGTTAGAGAAGGCTTTTAAGGAAGGGGGAAAGGAAGTAAAGAGGAACTGAGAAACTGAAAGACAAAACGGATAGGATTAAAGATTAAGCAGGACATTACAATCCTGGTGGAAGATTTTTATTTATCACAATAAATAACGTTGTGAAAAATTGTGAAATTCGATTATTTTATCAATTTCCATCTTTACCATTTCAAAGGTACTTGTCCCCACTTCTCTAAATTTAAAGGTCTGGAAAAAAAAACCTGAAAACTCCTTTCTTTGGAAAATGTTTTAAAGCGTAAAAAATTGACAGGTTTATAGTTTCAATGATTCCAATAACTGTAAATTGGCAATCTGCAGGATTCTTTTTGCCCTGGGTGAAAGCGTGCACCAAACGCTACCAGCTGGGAGTCTGGCTCAAACAGCACTCGACTGTCAGGGGGTACCAATCCACAGATGAACATCGCAGAATCACGGCGTGGCTCAAGTTCCACATTTTTATTTCGCCAGTTGTTCTAACTACATGTTCGCTTCATTGAGCATGACAACCTAGTTTTAAGTGTCATTTAATTTTCATTTTCAAATATAATTACAAAGTGTTCACTGTTAGATATCACTCGTCTGCAAATGTGTCAAGATTAATTTGTGCTAGCTTATTCACAAGTGTCAACAGTTAATTACTGTGTCGTGTCTGGATGGCTAAATGACATTCTAACTTCTGATTTTTTTACAATGTTCTTCCATCTTCTTTTCCATTAAGGGCTAACTCTATACTCTTACGCATGTGGGCAAATATTAAGGCACATTAAATATCTGCAATCAGTATTCATTAAAATCATCTAAGCATACAATTCGCTACTTCCCTATAAAACACTGTTTAACTGAACGGATAATCCTAGTAATAATGTCATATTCTTTAAAAGTGCATATTAATTTGAGAGATGTAAGGCAAGTTTGATTTCATTTTGCTATAACAGCTTAGGCTGGATTCTATACTTTTGAATTACTGAACTGTAATTAGACGAGTTAAAGAAAACATTTGAGTTAGGGACAGATCTATTTCTTATAATTTTTTATGCAATTCATGGCCTGTGCTAATTTTTGGATTTGTACAATATGCCTCATTTATTTGATACATAATGATGATTAAGTGTAAGAATTGTTTTTAAAGTGTCTTTTTAGAGGATCCCACTAATGTGCACATGAAACATTTTAAGAAACATTTGAATGCACTTATATGTAATACAAAGTAAGAACAAGAAGAACAAACGTATTTAAAAAAAATGCAATAATAATCATGGTTGCCTTTAAGACCTTTTTTAAAATATATTTTGCACAGTAAGTGTTACTCACAGCTACTACAGGAAACAGAGTGAAGAAAGCTACATCCCACATCCATTAAACAACACCTGCATTCTTGGTAATAGTATCAGATTTATGCTTGTGTCCCAGAAACATTCAAACACCACAGCTTGTAAATGATGAGAAGGTGAATCTTAATTTTGGTATCAAGATGAACCTACACTTCTGTCTAATGAGTGGAGAGCAATGACAGTTAAAAGTATTAAAATAAATACTGTAAGCTCATGTTAAAATGTATGAATAAACCAAATAAAATGAGAATTGGCCTATTCATCAGACAGTCAGATTTGGGATTATATTTTGATTCTTTGATTTTAGGTGGGATTGCAGTCTTCCCCATGAGAAAAAGGCCGTTCATTCACACACAAACGGTTCACACACACACACGTGACTGCTGCGGTTCACGTTGATTTGGGCTTGAGAAGGCCCAGTAAGGTGTGGGGAGGATGGGGGTCCGTACCCTCTCCCGGGCCAGACTCACCTGTTCCTGCTGCTGCCTGGCCAGCTCCATCTGCTGCCGCTGCTTCTCGATCTGCGAGGCTGCCAGCTTCTTCTGCTCGTCGTGGGCGGCCAGGAGCTGCTCGCGCAGGTTGATCAGCTGGGTGATCATGGTGGAGAGCTGCCGTTCCTTCTCCGCGAGGCTCTCGGGCGTACCTGCCGGGGGGGAGAGTGCAGCCAGCGGTGAGACCGGGCCAGGCGCGGGTCTGGCCCAGACCGAGGCCCAGCGCAGGTCCACACGCGGCGAGAGGAAGTGCCACCGCTGCTCGAGACCCCCAGCCGTTGTGTTTTATTTCTTTGTAACCATCAGTCAAGTGGGACACTTAGGGGGAGTCTCACATACAGCTGGGATTTCCAGTTCTTCTGATGTCCCATTTTTAACAGCATTTTTATAAGAAACATTCTTTTTTTAAAATAACTGTGCCCTGTCTTTTTCAACGCATTTACAGTATTTCGAGGCTTCTGAAGCATCTAGACTTACTGCCTATTAACGTTACAATAAAATACTATCATTACACAGATTTTTTTAATTTCACAATATTATTTTGTGAGAAGCATACAAACAGTTGCAGTGATGGAGATATTAATTTTAAATAATTCCATAAAAGGTTTTGTTAAAATACAAATACATGTAGTATGCTATTTTATTCAATGTGGAAATAAAAATTTAACCGGAGTTTAATTAATAATATCAACTACGATGTCTCATACCAATTATGTAAGTTGAAAAAACTAAATGCTTTTGCAATTCAAATTACAATGACTTAGCTGAACATTATGGTTTAGTTTACAGTCCTGAAATGTAGATTTTCTTTAGTTTAATTTAATTTGTGTCTTATCTTTTTCCCCACAATGTTTTAGATATGGAATTTAATGCCCCACAACTTACACTAAAGCAACGTGATGAGGGTTTGCTCATTGTCTGTTTCGTTTTTTGCTCTTTGCCTGCTCTCACATTTCTAAGGGGCCCTGGGTTCTACTAGTTTTTGAAGTAGGAAAGTAAGAAATGGGTATGTCTTGTCTAGAACTGACCAATCTTACATGTGCACACAGCAAATAATCAATTAATGTCATCTGACCTAAGACTCGCAAAATAAAAGAAACCATGCCAAATCATGTCAAAATAATGTAGGGAACAGAATGCTTTGGCTTTTATTTAATTTTTACCTTTTAGGTAAGCATTGGTGATTTAAACCATCAGAAGCCCATATTAATTCAGATTCCAAGAATGACCTATAAACAAATGATACTACCATTTAAGAAAAAAATACACTTCTAGATATTATATTTTTAATAAATGATCTTTTTCAATCCTAATGGAATGAGCATTAACACACTTAATGCATTTGTAATCTAAGCCGTATCCCGTTTGCCTGTATAGACATTAGAATAAGATTTACAGAGGTGTTATCACATGAGCTAGAAAATCTAGGGTTATTTTACTGTTATAACACGTTTTGATCCTAAGATACATAGAGAACAGAAATAAAGAGCATCAATTTGAAAACTGATCTCTTCTAGCATAAACAAAATGGAAGACAAGCATCTCAGAACAGGTCGCTTAGTTCAGGTTACTTGCTTGCTGAAAGGTTCTGCTCAAGATACAGTGATGATACGCTACTGTAAAACAGCTAAGGAAATGGAATATGACAGAAAAGTTTCTTAGAAAGAAAAACTTATTTATAAAATGTAAGGCCACTCAAATTCATCAGTCCCTGCTTTTGATAATTCTCAACTAAATATATATTTGAACTTTAAAAAAAATACTACTCATTGGTAAAATCTACTTCAGTAAAACATCAGGTCTGCAATGTCTATATTATGACTTCATTAACAGTGGGGAGGCATCATTGTCACTTTTTTTCTTCCCTGAAGCTCACAGCTTTTTCTAACAGTGAGGAAGGCTATGAATTGTACCCAGCAAATAAGGGATCTGTCATAGTCAGTAGTAGGTGGCAAATTAGTGACAGACAATGAAGGATAATGTGGAAACATTCTCTGCAGAGCAAACAGTCACATCATTACAATTTCTTCACTTTTACGCTCCTTCCTTGTGATTGAAAGAGGATACGTCTTGCAGTTACAGTATTTCTAATGACTGCCTTCATTTAGTGAAAAAATACCCTACACACTGAATAACCCTCTCCTCTGTCAAGACAAAATACTGCAAATCTGCTTGCAGATGATACTGATAATGGAATATATAAAAATATACAGCCCATAGAGTACAATTATACATACATATACTGTATATATAGCATTGATTATATATGAATGATGTTAAATGTTATGTAATAACACGTACAGCACATTAAAAAAGTTTCCACTGAGAACTAAACATAAACAGAAAAATAAACCAGTAAGTCAATCATTAAAAATACAGACATGACCTACTAAAGCATTCTGACTCTATTTTGAGAAACAGAATTTACATCACCTCTGCAGACAAACAAAAAACATTAAAATTAATAAGATTTATTTAGAGAGGAAATCTCTCTCTATCTGCATGGGTGAGCCCTCTGTTTCCTTGAGAAACGAGATGTGTTTCAAAGCAGCAACAACTGGCAAGTCAGATGTTTCTGCCTTTCCTAATCAATGGCGTGTGATTCTCCAGTTAACTTTACAGAGCCTTTACAGAGAGTAATTGAGAGTCAAAAGCAAAATTGAAACTCACTCTCAGATATGCCCTCCTCCTGGATGCTTGTACAAATTTGACATGGCGATATTTGCACATGAAGCTCAAACTGTATGTCTGGCCCCCTGCCAGTTGCACAGACAGTGTTAAATTTTTTCCTGGGTGTCTTCTGTATCCTCAAGCCACATCTGTCTTGAGTTCCTCTCAGGGCTCCCTGGGGCCCGCTCCAGTTCAAGTATTTTAATTTGACTAAACACCTGATTTATTTTATCTCTCCGATGAGGAAGGCAGTTTGTCTTAATAGGGCCTGTCAACCTCCAGCCCCATTCAGAGGGATTTACTGGCAGCCTGGGCTGCAGCAATGGAAGAGAACTGCAATTCTCCATTTATCCTCCTCAAAAAAAAGCACCTAAAAGCAGCTATTCACTGGTGCTGCATGTGGTTTCTTCGGGCTGAATTGACTTTTTATTCACCAGACTACACTTGTTGTGAATAGCTTATCTGTAAAATTGATACATTTGCCACCAATTTTATTAACCTTTGGCTCTGCCATGAAGGGTCGCATTTATAAGCCTCTGGTAACTTGCATCCATCACAAATTACCAGTATCAATATTCGGGGAAGCTGCAGACCTGAATGCATGCCTTCCATGTTACCATTCTATTGCTATTTACTACAGGCAGTAGTGCAGTCATTCTGCCTGCTACAGAAGACCCTACCTGTTGGAATTGATTTTCACAGTCTATGGCTGGAAGAGGCTGAGACCACAAAAATTCCCGTCCCTATTAATTCTTCACACCCCCTAGCTTATGTCTTCAAAGTGTACAGGTGCATTAACTTTACCATTTTCTCATGAACTCAATCAGATGACATCTTGACGTCTCTGTCACAGGTTCAACACGCAAATTTGTGAAATCCTACTGTATATGCTGGTTTTTATTATGGAATAACCAAAAAAGACACACATTCAAAAGCATGAAAAACAAATGGTTTTGTTTTATCCAAGTGAGTGTCTGACTGAAAAGGCACACATCAAAAATATAAACTGCAGACTAAACTTCATATACAGTAAATCACACTAAATCTTGTATAGAGGATATACTGCAAATGTTACCTATAGAAACACAGGGTGAAAAGCTGATAATCGTAACAGGATAGATCATTAAAATGTTAATAAGCAGGACCACGTTACAGAAGTGAAGGATCATGACAAAATGACAAAACACGTTACGGTACCCCTCATCTCCCTTAGCACTTCAAAAGCCGAGACAGAGTGATACAAGAAACACACTCGCAATGTGCACTCCACCGCCGTCAGCACTGATGCGAGATGGCCGTTGGACATGTCTAATAAGAGAACTGTGCTGATCAGGGGCCACTCGGAAAAACCTGGAGGGTCTAGCCCTGGGGCCATGCTGTGGGGAACTTTGGAATGCACAAACACTACCGGAATATTAACAGAGAGCTCATTGTTTTGATGTTCTGCTGTGTTGTGGAGAGCCAGCTTGCACACTCTACGAAGAAACAACAAGTCAGCCCAGTACTCTTTCTTTTTCTTTCTTTATACTTAAGATGGATTAATTGACTATCGATTTCATTGACCCTCCCCCCCCCACACACACACAAACTCCCAATGGAAATGGTTTGGTAAGCTATTGTACAGCAAGCGATCTCCTCCATTGATAAAAAAACCATGGATTTGATTTTGTAAGAATAGTCAGGAAACCAAAGCTCAGGAAAAAAATCGATAAACTAATCCTTAAGCGCATGTGCATACCTGAATTATATACCTGACTTATTATTAGTGTTAATATCGGGTTTCAACATTTAACATCTGTGTAAAACCTTTTGCCCATAAATGTACTGTATGTGGGCGAAGTTCTACTACTGTGGACAAAGTCTTAATCAACCTTTTTTCCATAAAACTAATTTTCCATCTCAAATACAGGGCACGTGTTACAAAAAAATTAAATTAAAAAGATTACTTATTCTACTGTTTAAATTACAAATACATGTCAAACTCCAGTGAAAGCTGTTTTTTATCCTTGAGGATTATTTTAAGCTTTGAACTTTTCAAGGATGATTTCGTCATAGTACAATCATACTCTATTAGCCCTGAACAGCGCTCATGTAAACACTGGGGCAGGATGAAAATCCACTTAAAGAATATGGTACAAAACTGGCAAATAAATCTGGTAAATACCAACTTTACACTTAAACCTAATGCGGGAACATATACATTGTGACAATATACAGTATGTTTGCTGGATCCTATTGAAAAACCTCAGAGAACTTAATGGGTATTGTATTATAGTATGGTACTGTAGGACACGATTATGCACAAGTGCTTTATCATCCTATTTCAGCTTTTAGATTAATATACATATGATATGCACATGTGTCTCTTAGAACTCTAGTTCCAACTGCTAAATTATAAAAAAATAGTTTTTCGCCATTACTGTAGGTTTGATCCGTGTTGTTTTGGCATGTGAGTTAAATCTTCATTTTTAATCTCGGCTTC